CTGCTCTGCGGTGTCAGTGTGGGATGAATGTGGCATGGATGTGGCGTGGCGTGGTCTGTTGGGGGATGGGGGTTGGGTTGAGGTGAGTTGGGTCGCTTGGGGACAAGGACGTTGTGGAGGATGGTGTCTGGATGTTGCCGCTGCCGTATTTTAATAATGCATCGAAATGAAAGTGGCTGTCAACTGGAGATTTGACAGCTGCTTTAGCTTACGACAAGGATCGATGATGGCATGTCAGGAGCGTAGACAGACACGACAGTCCTGACTACTACTCCGGCCACCAGAGGAGTTGCCATGACTTCTCGCCACAGATTATTTCACTTACTGCGCCAATAATGTGCGATAATTAGGTGCGGGAGGCAGCCATTGGGGCAGTAACAGTGGCAGACATTGGGGGAATTCGAATCGAGTCGAACCGAATTACCGCCTCATTAGCACATGGCACTCTTGTATTCCCAGGGCCCATTCTGGCCCCCTGCTTCGCTCCCCTCCCCACCGCTCGCGTTACTCCGTTACTCATAAATGCCATAGATCTTCGGGGGCCCACCAGCACCACCAGCTGGCCCACTTGATGGCATAAACAGATTGCATGGCTCGCTCTCTCTTTGAAGTGCAAATTACCCGCGGGGTCAACCGAGCATTGTGGCCTGGCCTGGCGTGGCCTGGCCTGGAAGGGAGTGTTGGTTGTGTTGGCTGCGTTGCTGTGTGGCAAAGGTGGATGCGGATGGGATGGATGCGGTACAGAGTTAACAATGCTTCTTGGCCATAATACATCTTGAAAATCTGTTTAATGGCTCTCTTCCTCTAACGGGGGCCGGGGTGCCACTTGAGAGGCTTTTGAAGCTGTTGCTATTTTAATGTGGTCGATATTCTAAATTTAAACAAATAAACAAACATACCCGCAACAAATACACGATTGCCTCTGGATTTCTGCCTTGCTGCCTTGCTGCCGATTGTTGAAAGTTTATTGTTTTTAAACCTGTGCAGCAAAACTGTTTGATATTCCTTTCCGCCCCTGAGCACCCGATAATTTGGCACTTAAAACGTGCGAAATTCATTCACATTTTCACTTGATTCATTCGGCATCGCCGGCTACGAAAGCAATCACGGTGAGTGCCTGGTTTACGAGTATTTTGTACGTATGTACATATGTATGTATGGATGATCCGCCCCGGAGAGAGGGTGAACACATCCGCTGCCCTGCGGATGCCCTGTGAGTGCCCTGCAATGCTATTTTTTCCTTCTTTTCGTTTTTGGGCTGGAAATCAATATGAGTAATACGAAGCAATAATCTATGAGATTCCCGCAGTTTGGGGGCCACACGAAAGTTTATACTTTTGAGTACTGTACACATTGCTCTCTTTGAAGTGGGAATATAACAAGAAAGATGGAATTATTACTGAATTTATACGCTTTTTTCTTCAAGTGCAAATGAGCTGCCGGCTGCGCGAACCGATAAATAATTTTCAAGCTTACTGCGTGCTAATTATCGCTGATTATCGATCAGCCCTGAACCTAGGAAACGATAAAATCAATAAAGGGGTATGGCAAAAATGAAAACAAATCAAAACGGTCTTGGAAATGGCTACCTCAGAAAATCCTGGAAGTCATTATAAAACTTAACTCCTGCCGCTTCCGCTCCTCCTCCTGCGCCAGAGCCTGTGGCTACCTTTTCTTAGGTGTTTGGGTGGAGAATAATTCTCAAGAATAACTAAGCCCCGCTGCATACTTTACGGGGCACCACTGCCCCCACAATATTATATTGGTTGCACAAACTTACTGCTCGGTAAACATTGCTCCTCTGATTGCCTCAGAGTCCAGCACCTGTTACCAACAAATAACTTGATGGGGAAGAAAACCCTCCCGCTTCACAGGTCAACAACCACATTATTGCTCACGCATTTCATTTGCCATACGATATAGAAATCGTCCCGGAATCGTCTCGGCTTCCAGCTCGAAACTAAACATCATCCATGCGGCAGGGGCAGCAGCAGCAGTAGCCAAGACTGAGACTGGGACTATGGTGCCACGCAACTAGTGTCAAGAATCGCATAAATTTCCGATTCCGGGACGCAGTCCGGGTACAACCGAATGCGCTGCGTTGCGCTGCTCCGTTGGACTCAAAGTGTGCCATTTAATGGCCACCAAAGGTCACGTTCACACCGCCGTAATGGCTAATGGGCGACCGGTCTGACAATTCAGGTAATGTGGATAATTTGCTGTCAATGATGTGTAACGAACGCACAGCGGAGATGAGAAAAGCGCTGGCGACGAGAGCGGTTCGGTGCGGTCCTTGTATTTGTTGTCAAACAACAACACGCACCTAATAGCCCGGACCCGGTGCTGCATTTTACGGCGCTTATAAATAGGCTCTACTAGATGTTAATGTTCGTGTCGATGGGGGAGAGAGAGGATGCGCTGGATGGGGACCGTGGCACGGGACCCCATTCAATTTTGACAAATCGCCTGTTGTTGAGCACAGCCACAAATCCGTGCTGATCGATGATTTGTTGTCTTTGATCTGGAGATGGAAACGGAGATGGAATGAGATGGGATAAGATGAGATGTGCTCCGACCGCGAGTGTCGAGTGAGCAAATCAAATTTTGACAAGGTGTTGATTGCCCCCCGACATATGTATTGTATGTATGTATGTACATATATCCTATGCAGATGTGATGTGATGCGCTGTGATCCGGGGGAGTCACCCCATAAATCAAGAGACCCACAGAGCAGAAGTAGTCACGCACTAAACTATAACTATAACGATTAAGTTGCGGTTGGGCCACGGGAACTAAACAAACAAGACTAGCGGCGTTTTATGGCTTAACACGACCGATCCGTCAAAAGGAAAATGGAAAACCAAAACGAAAACGAAAACACTGTTATTTCAGACTCTTGTTGTTTTGTCTTTGGTTTTTCGCGTTCCACACTGATTCAGAACCGATCTGAGCTGAGCCATAAAAAACAATATTTGTTTCCAATACTATTCCTAGCATAGATCTAAAAATAATCAACCAAAACATAGTCGAGCCGAACCGAGCCGATCCGAGCCGGGACCAGCGACATCTCTCCAATGTGTGGCCCTCAGGGCGGAGGAGTGGGTTGTCTAGCGACTCTGGCCCGGTGACTGGGAGGAGGATCAGTCGGGGGCATACTCGTAGGATAACCCATTGTTTTATGACCCATTTTTCCAGCGGTAAGCGATCGTAAAATTTGAATAAAGCGAGAGAGAGCGTGAAAAATCCTTTGTGGCATCTTCCACACATGTGGGAACGGAACTGTTGCTGCTACAACTTCAATTGGTCTTTCAGTATTCCGTATGTGGTACGAGTATTTTGTTTTTATTTCTTTCAAATGATCTCTGCTTTCTACTTGAGAACAGAACAATCGTAAAAATCGATCGTAGTCCTGTTTGAAATGTATACACAATTATTTTACGACCTTTCAAGATATAGACCAAGACTTTCGTTTCAAAAATTGCGTACTTGACTACACCCCGTTTACTCTCCTCTTTGCTTTCTCTCTCTGAGAAGTCGTAAAAATTGGAAAGGAAATTCTACCAGATAGCAATGTCAGGAGGCTGTGTGGAGATAAACCAATCTCTCTCCTGTCATTATCTGGTTCTTCCGCGAGACAGCAGCTGTAATCGGGTGTAGTATTTAAAGTACTTCTTGGGAAATATTTTGATTAGAATAATGTTTGCCATGATTTCCAGTTTAATGTTTACAAACCAATTGAGTTTGGGCACTCTTTGAGATACTTCATATGTTTGTTTTAAATGGAACTTAAAGAAGCTTAAGCATATTGGATGGTTGCAAAGTGGTAGAAAATCTCTTACTCTACAGAAAACTATACGGATGTCTGATAGATGCGGATGCAAGGCATTGATAGATGGTGATAATATGACCTCATAGCTTAAAGAAAACATACAATTTTCCTTACTATATTGCACGTTCGAAGATATTTTCATATCCTTTAATGTAAACGTTAAAAATTGCACAACATATGTCTTGATATTGGCTAACATTTTGTAGAGGTAGCCCTTCATCTAGTCGCCTTAACAAATCCAATAAAAACGCACTTCGTCATGTGTGTGAGCGTGCTGAATTTTCATTTGTTGAAAAATCATATTTTCCATATAATTGTAAACACATTGAAAACATTCAGACACACACACACACACACACACACTGAATGAGATCTTGGCTCCTCCCACAGCGGAAAATTCAGGCAAATGAGAAACGAATCTCGCTGTGAATATCTCTCCATAAATAAACATGGAACGAGCAGGAGAATCGCTGTGAGAACCGCCCACATCCGAAGATCAGCCAAACAGATGACTGCAGCAGGCCATGGATATGACAGAGATAGTAGCTGAAAAATATATAACTGTTAATAATAACTGGTCATCCCATCGCTAGGTCTAACTAATGGTAAAATCTTTCAATGGAATACTGCTAAAACGGGAATGCAATAAAATATGTAAATGGGTAGTGAACGAACTTTGGTCTCATAAAGTCTTCCCTTAAGTCATGATTGAACACCCCCCAACTGCTGCTCGACCCGAGACTTCTTCTCTCTCCCTCGTTCTTTCTAGGAACTTGAACATGTGTGGATATAGTACGTATTTATAGTCCAATACGGTGTTCCCCAAACTCACACACCGACAGACTCTCGCTGAGGAATTACAAGTGAGATCTACGTAGCTCTACGTATCCGTAGCCAGCCCACAAAGTCCATTCATTTGTCGATCGGACTTCTTGGCTGACGCAACGAATAGTCGCGCTCGCATCGCATCGCATAGAACTTGGATTTTTTTTTGTATGGGGCTGAAAAGCGGGAAAAAGATCCTAGACAAAATCAATACAAAAGTGAAGTGTGGTCGTTGTCCAAAGGACGCAAAGAAAGTCCTCATAGTGATCCAATAAAAGTACTAATAGTGAATTAAAGAAAGTTTTTTTTTTTTACTAAACCAAAGTTATAAGGAGTGCCTTCAAAAATGTTACCATCATGCTATTCGAATGGTTCGGTTTTGCCTGATAACGAGGACCTGGTCAACTCTCTGCTGGCCAATCCCGAGTATCTTCGGACCAGTGCCAATCCACTTGGCACAAGTGCCGTCGGGATGGATAGTCTCATGTGTAGCTCGTTCCCATCGGCCTTTTACTACCAGGGCATCGACAACTTCCTAGCTCTGCACAATAATATCTGGACTCTGCCCATATCCTTCCTGCACAACACCCATCGGCCGGAAAAGCCACCGTTCTCCTACATTGCTCTCATCGCGATGGCCATTAGCAGTGCACCCAATCAGCGTCTGACCCTCAGCGGCATCTACAAGTTTATCATGGATAAGTAAGTTCAAAGAATGTACTTTGGATATCTATAAAAAGCACTCCCATCGATCTGTTTTTTTTTTTTAAGCTGCTTAAGTTACTACATTTGTGGGAAAGATTGATTTCTTTGCCCAAATTCCTTGGCTATACTAAATGTTTCATTTATAAAAGAGTTCAAGTTCCTTTATCATGAACATTCGAAATCTTTTAGTTGGCAGTCGTCTAAGTCAATAATGCGAAAATAAACAATGCCAGCATTCCAGTTTTATATATAATTTAAATAGACAAATATATAGTCTGTATAAAAATAAAATGTACATTTGTATGTTAAAACGCATTTCAAAACAGTTGAAAAAGCATTGGCATAATTTGGGACTTTAGCGGTGAAATATTGAACATAATTTTCCGAGCTTAATTAAGAACAGCCATACATTCATTAGCCTACTATATCATGTTCAAAATTGGGTAAATATCTGAAAGGATTACACGTAAAATTAACGTAGATATTTATTTAAATTATCTCTGTGTGATCTTTGCCATAAAAGAATTATTTCTTATAAGAAATCTGGTACATTAAAAATAAGGGTTCCGAATTAAAACATGCTCGCAAAAGTCAAAATAAATCGCGTCATATCAGAACAGAGCAGTAAAGATCGGTTTCCCAATATTTATTGTCAATTTTGGATCACTTAATCAAGATTACTAAGAATTTTATCTAGTTTTCAGTTTAAATTTCTTATTTAAATTCAATTTTATTAACTTGAAGGCTGTTTTGCATAGATTGACTATTAATTATTGATTATTTATCTTTATTTTCGATTCTTTTAGATTCCCCTACTATCGGGATAACAAACAGGGCTGGCAGAACTCCATCCGACATAATCTATCGCTGAACGACTGCTTTGTGAAGGTGCCGCGAGACAAGAACACCATCGATGACAATGATAGCGCCGGAAAGGGCAGCTACTGGATGCTGGATGCCTCCGCCTCGGACATGTTCGAGCAGGGTAACTACCGTCGACGTCGGACCCGGAGGCAGAGGCATTGCACCAACGCCAGTCGCTATGAACGGGATGCGGGCAAGGTAAGAGGAGAAGCTGCAGAAGATGCTGGATAAAGTAATCAAATTGATTTATTGATTCCGTCAGGATGCTACGGATGGCAGCAGTACGGCGGAAATCAGATCGCCCAGCGACTCGCTGAACGACTTTGATATCTTCTGCAACGAGAGGCCGAACTACTCGGATCGCATCACGGATCTGCACCGTCAGTACTTATCCGTATCCCTTGGCTTCAATAGCCTGTTTAATGGCGAGGCAAGTGGGGTGCGCCAACTTCCAGGCGCTTCCACGGTGGTTAGAGAATCCAACGCAGACGACGACGCCGAGGTGGATGGCGATGCATCCACGGACAGTCCGTGCTCCAGCTCCAGCAAGACAGCTCAGAACATCCCGGATAGTGTATCGGCCCTGCACGATGAATTACATTCCCCGAGCGCCTTCACGCCGACCCACAACCACCGGCTCCCAGGACTAAGCGATGCATTTAAGGGGCTCCAACATCTGATGCCCAGCAATACAGCTCCAGCACCTGGCACCGGAACAACAGCAGCCAACAGCCGATCAAAGACGACGTTATTCACAATCGACAATATTATTGGCAAGCCCTGAATGGTGGAATATGGTTGTTAAGGATAGCATAGCATTAAGTACTTACACGTAATCCAATCCATTATCACCGTGCAATGATTAAAACTGATATGAGTTACAGTTGCTAGTCTTCGTACTTTATTTTTACAAAACTTGAGAAAAGTTCTCCTTTTCTGAAGAAAATTGGTAAAGTTTAGTTGTCATAGCCTACAATGTGGTTTGGTTTGGAAATGGGCGCTCACTACTCTGCTCAGCTGATCAAGTCGATAGTATGTATCGAAAAATCGATATATCAAGTAAGGTTATTTTTAATAATAAATGTAATGTTTTGTCATGTCTTTCTTCTAGTGGGTTCTTTTTTGTTTATATTTTCCATAATTTCTATTACTTTAAAAAAGGTAAGTAACGGCAAAATTCATTCCGCCTATCACAAAAAAATACCGATATTTTTTCAAAACACTGTGGATAATGGTAACATGACATTAGACTGTAGACTTCAGGTCAATTTATTAACAAAACACAGATGACTCAACAGTGTAACCATACAGAATTCACACCTGGTGACACTTTCCTGCTAGCAAGCATTTTTTTCGGATCGGAGGCTCAAAGGCTCAAAGTAGCTCAGTTCTTCAACTGATGATTTGGCAAATAACCAGACGACCAGAAAACGAAGCGAGAGAAACCTACTTCGGCAAAATGCAATCCAAAGAATACCGTTATATTGTACTGGCTGGCAGCAAAATTGCTTTCCTAAAATATGCTTTCCAAAATATCTCCGTTTTTGCAGATAATTAGTTTGCAGAGTTTAATGTCATGTGGCCATTATCACACAAAAATACCGATATATTTTTCAAGCTACTCTGTGGATAATTACAAAAATATGTAGTTGCCATGTAACAAAACGTGTAGCATCTGGTTGGTAATATTAATTTTATACATTTTTGTTGACAAAACCATATCAAATAAATTATCCAATAAAGAAGAAGGCAAAATATCAGAATATTGTAAAAAATTGATTCATTTATCTTATCAAATTATGTGTTCAGTGCTTGGATCTTAGCTAGCTAGTAGTATTACTCCGAATATTAAAGTCAAGTAAAAAATATATCCAAAAATGGATATTCTAAACGAATCTGTTGCTCTCGGCGTCGATTTAATTATTTTAGGCATCTGCGTACGCGAATATATGTACAACAAGAGGGTTGCAGGACTATTAAAGGTAGGAGCACGTTTTTGTCATCAGAAACAGCTGTTTTCATTGGTATTACGTAGACTGCACCGCAATACAACATCGATGGAGATCTCAAATCCATTGTTGAACGGCAACAGACCAAAAGTATACCATATGCGGTGATCCGGGGTACTGTCACGCCCATTGGCGTGCCCCTGCGCAGCTCGCTGGTTCCCAGTGTCAGCGGAGTGCTGCAGATTGTGAAGCTCCACGAGCACCGGATATCCCGGGGCTTTTCCGGCTTGTGGATGGAACAGTGCAAGCTTCTGCATAAATCTACCAACGAGATGCCCTTCGAGTTGCGCAGTCAAGAGCATGGCGTGGAGATTGTGGATGTCCTGAGCGCAGCTGTTCTTGATGTGGACGTTGTCTACGACAGCTACGAGCCCTCTACACTCTCCGCCTTTGACCACATCTTCGGATTCTTCAGTGGCGTACGACAAAAAGGCATCCAGACCACGGAGGAAGTTCTGCGCGAGGGCAGCTTCCTGACAGCCATCGGAAAGCTAGAGCTGGATGGAAACTCATTGCGTATGCAACCTTCACCGGAAGGAGGACTATTTCTGACCACCGCCACAAAATCTTCCCTCATTAAGCGGTTTGAGGACGCCAAATGGACATGGATGTAAGTGGAACGCAACCTCAATTGACTAACATCTTTAACACACACTTTAATCACACTTCAGATTAAAGATTGCTTTTTGTGGCGCCGTATCAGCTTTCCTAATCGGCCTCATAGCAAGGAAAATATATCGCAAGAAAAAGCAGCAGAAAGAGGAGGCAAGAATACACAACCTCCTGGAAACAGAGCGTCGCGAACGCCGTAGCCGCAGTCGTCCCCTCACACTATCCGAAGATCAGCTATGCGTTGTCTGCGTAACAAATCCCAAAGAGGTACGTGGATGCAATACAGAAAACTCTGTAATAACATTTACATCATAATCAATAACATTGCGACATTGTCTTTCAGATAATTTTACTGCCCTGTGGCCATGTGTGTCTATGCGAGGACTGCTCTCCCCACATTGCCACTCACTGCCCCGTGTGTCGCGGCAAAATCGTGTCAAGATCCGCGGCCTTCATCGCTTAGACATACAGACAAAAATCAGAAATCACGTGTACCTATGCAATGTAAAGCATATATTACAAATTATTATAGTGTTGACAAATTTTAACGATCCTCTCCGTTCATAATGCTCCTGTACTGCCGCTGATGCTCCAGCAGTCGAAGAAACACCTTGTACTTGCGATTGTGAAACTCCAAAGTCTGGCTATTAGGCTCCATTAACTGCCCAGTGCCACCCATGGCTTTCGAGGCACTCTGTAGAAATGGAGAACCTTATTTTGTTGACACATTGGGTAGGATATTTGTGCCACTCACCTCGACACTATCAAAGTGGCCAGCGGCTGCAGCTCCAAGGGCAGCAGCTCCCACCAAAACCATTTCCTGTTCATCCGGTATCAGAGCGGGCAAGTTGCAGATGTCGGCATGGCATTGCACGTACAGCGGATTCTTGGCCAGACCGCCACAGAACAGGAGCGTTTGGAACGGTGCCCGCTTGTGCTGGTATAGATTTTCGATGATGTGACGCGTTCCGTACTGAAACAAAATATTGTATTAGAAGAGCAGGAACGTTGTGAGCCACGGCAAGGTCCGCCTCTCTACTTTTATACCCGGTACTTAGGCGGAATATATGTGAGTTTTTGATTTACGTAACTTATACAATATTTTGCATACGTAATTATACGTTTCCGCTGGAACTCTCTCTATGTCTCCCTTTTGGTATCGTGTTCTTTAAAGTGACAAATTTAAACTTTCTGAATCTCATCGCGGACTCTTTGAATTTTGCTCGCTTTTGTTATAAGAGGAACTAGTAGTGGTTATTTTCTAATGCTAGTTTTTGCTTTTTTCTTCGTTTATCCTCTTTTCACCTAATGCATTATTTTATTAGAACTTTTTATCTGTTTCCATTTTTCCTCCACTGTTTTTTATTCCGCTATATCTGTCTCTCTCTGTTTCACTTTTCACACCAACACCTGAATACATCTGTTTCTATCTCTTTCACACCAACATCCTTCTAGCTGTAATAATGATATGATAGGTGTGATCATTCTCTGTGGTTCTGCGCTATCGGTTTTCTCGTGTCATCAAAATTGTGTGTGCCACAGACTTCGCTCTTTAGGACGTTGCAAAATTTGGACACCAACTTGTAACAGTGTAATATCACAGGGGTCTGCACACAAAATTCAATTGATCTATCCCTTATAGTCTCTGATATCTAGATATCAGACAAGACGGACAGACAAAGATAGCTATATCGACTCGGCAATTGATGCTGATCAAGAATATATATGTGGTCGGAAATTCTTTCCTTCTGGCTGTTACACACACCACAAAACTAAAATATTATTAAGCTTTTCGCGTACCGGGTAGTACTTACAGCCAGGGCTTGAATGTAGGACAGATATTTAATGGCCAGAGATTCGATTCCACGAGTCATATCCAGGCCCGTGATCTGTGAAGAAAAAATTGGCATTACGATGTGTTAACTGTATGATCAACTCCAGATTCTAGGCCACCTACTATGCCTCGCAGTGTGGGATCGGCCACGGGCGAACGATTACCGTGCAGATCCGGCCAGACGTGCACATCCTGGGTGAGACAACCCACTTCGCTAAGTCCACGGGCAGCTGCCAGCTCAGGCAGAAGCTGATTCAGATGCTGGTAAATATTTCTGCAAGATATCATAGAATTATAATTGATTAACTTTTAACATAATGTACTCATACATACTTATCTGCCCCCAGCAATTCCTTGAGTTCGACGTAGGATTCGTGAGACTTCAGCACATGATCCAGCAGATGACCGGCAATGCTCTGGCCGCCTTCGTTAAGGAAGTATCCAGGTATAATGGCGTCCTGGTAGGGACCCCAAATGCCTTTGGCAAAGCAGGCCTCTCGAGTGATGCTCATGTGGCAGGTGGAGGTTCCAGCTATCAGGGCCATTTTCCCCTGCACATCGTCGGCATCTTCAGAGCTACCAGCACGGCAGCCAAACATACCCAGGGCTCCGGCATGGGCATCGATCAGCGAAGTGCTAACCACAGTTCCCACAGACAAGCCCAGATCCTCGGCAGCACAGGCAGAGAGGCCCTTGCCCACGCGCTTCCCAGGCGGCTGGACATCACTGCCGAGCTTTTCAAAATTATTTGAAGTCAACTCTTGCAGTCCCGCGCCACAGAGGAACTCCTCATTCCAGCTATTGGCCGCAGCGTCATAGTTCCACTTGCAGACAACCGAGCAGAGGGATCGGGTGTCCACGCCAGTAGCACGCCAGGTCAGAAAATCGGGCAGATCGAAGACTCGCCAGATGCTGCCAAAAGTCTTGGACAGATTCCGTTTTAGCCACAGAAGTTTTGGCACCTCCATCTCGAGGGAGACCTGGCCCCCAACGTACTGCAGCAGAGGGTGCTTCTTGGCATTGATCTCTGCCGTCTCCTTATCGGCCCGATGATCCATCCAGAGAATGACATTCCGCTCCTCCTCACCAGACTTGCTGACTGTCAGCGGTAATCCGTTCAGGCCCAGGACGACCAAGGAGCAGGTGGCATCGAAGCCAATGCCCTTGACTTGTGACTTTTTGACACCAGCAATGACATGCTGTAAAATCGGGATAGGTTAGGTTAATCTAATCTCCGCCAAAGGTTATCAAATGAGGCGCCTTTATTACCTTGACAACCTTACAGATTGCAGACCAAATGTCTTCGGTCGATTGCTCGTAGTAGTCGGGCTCCGGCGTCCACGTCTTGATCTCTTGCACCGCCTGTTCCACCACCCGGCCATTGGCTGCCACCAGAGCCGCCCTTGCACTGCCCGTGCCCACGTCCACACCCACAAAGTACGACGACTGCGTCTGTTTGGACATTTTCTTGCTGCCTTTCCAGCTGCTTTCAATTACCTTTGCGGTCAAATAAATGTTATATTAACGGATTGCACAAAACCGAACCCGACGACAGTCGACCGCAAACTGATAACAAATTTGATATGCGAACGCTGGAAGCTACAAAATCGTTTATACTAATGAATGTAGGAAGATGTCTGTGTAGTTGTTTATATGGAGACGCGTCTCGGGACCATTTACCGGTTTGTAAAGATCTTGCACAGTAAAGAGGCTTAACAGCTGGGAAACTTGACTGAGATGCCCTTTGCCACCCTTCCAGCCCTTTTGGCAAAACATTTTGACAAAAATATCAATCTGAAGCCGGATTTGTATTAAAAAGCACACCTGATTGTTTCCAAACAGGCCAACGCTAAAGTCGTGTTTTGCTCTTGTTTTACTTCCGCAAAGGTGTGTGTTTATCAACACATGCAAATTAGTTAAGTTGTGTGCGTCGGCCCCACAACCCAGAAACACACCTTACAAGTCACTCTTCAACAAACAACAATCGGAACAGCGGCTCTAGTTTTCATTCAAATATTTAAATGTAACCGAACCTCCTCCCTCGCTCTGAAGATCGCAGTTCCATATGCTCGATTAATATCGTTTTTCAGCAGTCTGGCAGCTCTCGTCAAACGGAGCATTTAAAAAAAATCTATTCACAAAAAATAATAGATCGGCGGAAGAATAAACCCTGTGGGCATCGAACGATTGCAGTGAGGTTAATCACTAGAAAGCAACTAATACTATATGTATACATAGTACCACTGATAACGTTAAAAAATTGTTGATAAACGAGATTTACAGATAGGTGAACTTAACTTTGATAGTGGCTGCATTTAGTTCATAGTCAAACACCGGAGATAGGTAGGTCGTCGAGATAGTTAAAAAATATTTTTTTACGAATTATTCGTATGCAACGATACTTCGTATTTAAGCATGTCTGGCAGCGCCATTTCATCAATCTATTTAATTTCATTTTTAACGTTATATAGAAATCCAATAAAAGCAAGTAGAGAGTAGATTCATTAATCGGGTAAAAATATGTGGACATGGCTAAATGTTCTATAAAGTTAGTAATAATCCACGGAATATCAAAAACGAGGAATATGTAAAATAGAACTTGAATTCGTAAGTATATTTACGGTATATTTTGAAAATTAGACGGTATGTTTCGGAATATTTCTGAGGGTCGGACGGTATATTTTATCGATAAGTGGCAAGACGGCATGGTTCGAATCAAAAATAGGTAAATAAATGTATTAAACAAATAAAGATGGCTTTCAATAAAGGTATTTTACCCAACCAGATACATAGCGGTGCAAATTGTGCCCTATACACCCACGCAGACCCTCCGTCTGAACGATCACAGTCTAGCCAAGTGCCTGCTGCAGAATGTGGAAAAATACTATGGCGTCTACGGACTCGGCATTATAGAGCATGGATTTCGTGTAAAATATTGCAATGAACGCACCAAAATAGCCATTATACGCTGTCTGCATCGTGGTCAGCGTTTCGTGTCGAGCATGCTGCCGCTGATTACTCTGGTAAGTAAAAAATCAAATTATTTGAAACATGGCCCCACACTTTGAAGTTTCAGATAGGCGACGTGCGAGCCAAGTTCCGCACTCTATACATTGGCGCCACAATCATACAGTGCAACAAGTTTATCATCAAGCATCAGAAGCAGTTCCTGGATCGCGTGATGGGACAAGTGGAATCTGCCAAGGAACGGCAGGATCTGTTCAAGCGCGTAATGGAGTTGGACATGGATAGATAGAGATTAATTAAACTAGAAGCTGATTTGTATAGTATATAATTAAGTAATTGTAGTACATAGCTTTCTTATAGAAAGCCGTTGTTCCGGTTTGACTAAAAACTAGTGCATATTTTTGGTATTCAAATTATACTTCGATGAGGAATTTTCGACTTGGTGACCGTGCTAGCCTGAAGCCGAATTGCTTAAACCTGGAACGGATGTCCGCAAACGTCAGTTTGTTCTTTTTGCTATAGACGTTAAGATAGATGCCGAGCACAACTATCAGACCAGACCAAAGATATCTGGATGAAGAAATATGATGAGTAGGGAGAAAACCAGAATATTCAATGCTACTCACTGCACAGTGAAGGGTTTGCTGAAGAGCACAAAGGAAAAAGCGATGGTCACAGCCTTTCGTGCGGTTGTCACGGTGGCAGCTATAGGCGCACCGCTGCTTCTTACCAGCGCCAATACAAATTGTATGCCCAAGTAGCCGGACAGGCTGAACAGGAACCCGTAACCGAAGGTTTGAAGGGGATGCTGAAACGATTGATATAATAATAGTATATGATGTAGTAGTGAAGACGCCTTATACTGACCTCCAAGCAGAAGGCGAATCCACTGAAAAAGTTTCCCGTGACCAGCATGATTACAAACAGATAAACGAAACCCAATCCGTACGAATAGAAGACCACCTCGCTGCTAGGAGCCTTGTGCTCCTTCATGGCCTTCTCCTGGACATTGCCGATCGCCGCATCACACAGCAGAGCTCCCGAAATCATAGCAACTCCCAGAAGATTAAAGTTGGGCGTCATCTGGGAATCGGCCAGGGTGAACCATGCCAGACCGATGCACATGCAGGAGGCGGCCGCAAAGTCCAGCGGGCCATATCGCTTGCCCTGTATAAGGATGCTGCCCACAAGCACTGGAATTAGCTTGCAGCACTTGAAGATCACTTGGGTGGGATAGTTGAGGTAGCCCAGGCTCGAGTTGGACAGGCCCATGGTGCCCAGGGTTAGAGCAGCCAGAACTAGGTAGGTTTTCATGGGAATGCAACGTGGCGCCGGCTCAACGTTCCACAATGAACGTCGACCCGATCTGTAGGCCTCCAGGCGGCGTTCCACCAAGCCGAAGCCAATGTAGTAGCCGAACTGGACGAGCGTGAGGAACCAGCCAAAGGGCTTGAATCCCTCCACCGTGAAAATGAGTTCCTGCAGATACCCATATAGGATGTAGAGTATAAAGACGCCCGCACAGCTTAGCAGAAACTGCGTTGTTTGATTGTAGTGTGTCAGATCAAAGCACAGGATCCGCAATTCCGGCGGAAGCTCCGATGATGACGACTTTCTCGTCAAGGTCGGAGAATTCGATGTCGGAGCCTGCTGCCCACTCGCACTCCCGTTGATGTTGATAACGCTTCCGGCTTGACCGTCACCCATTCTGTTCAGTCGAAGATTGTGTCTGTATCACAGAGAGTTATGTGCTGCGCTTGCCGCGTAGATTACTGCCACGCAATGTGAGGGATTCCACGTTTACAAGATTGATTTGACATGCCGATCTTTAGGTTACATCATTTACCCACAAGTGTGCAGATTCCGCTACATTGAAAAAAGACTCTTCAACTAATTTTACACTCGAGGCATTTGTTTACGTTGTTTTTAGTGTTTCTATTGCCCAAAAAAGGTAGTGGTGATATCGATATTACTATGCATCCAGTCGATAGTATCGATGGCCGAACTGCTCTCTTTTTCGCTCTCTTTGAATCGGGCATGAATCGGTAGCAACAGCATGAGTCCCATTCTAGAGCTGGTCAATATATCGATATACTTTTATAGTTTTTAGTGTTTCCATTGACAAAAATAGTAGTGGTGATATCTATATTTCTTTACGATAGTATCGATAGTCGACCATCGATTGTAAACATGGCGTCGCAAATTGCAACAAAACAAGAAGAAGATCTAGGTGAAAAGTGCCGCTGAAAAAACGCAAGAAGTAATGAATTTAGTCATTTGCAAGAAAGTTTGATAGTAAAAACTGCAATAAGATGGATGGACAGCCGCCAAGAGGTAAATACTGGCCTGAAGAGGCTCGCCGGTCGAATGGGGGGATCACACGGCGCCCAGTCAGACGAGTTCTAGCACACACACAGACACACGCCCGTCTAGTGATTTATGGGCTCAGCTCACATTTGATATACAAAATTGCCTTCTTTCAGATGCCAATTTACGCAATATAATAGATAAACTGGCCGAGTTCGTAGCGCGCAATGGGCCCGAGTTCGAAGCAATCACCAAACAAAAGCAGCAAAACAACCCAAAATTTGAGTTCCTGTACGGAGGCGAGTTTGCAAACTATTATCAATTTCGTGTGGCAGCCGAGCAAGCATGTGAGTGGAGAGAGCCTATTTTTTAGTAGTCGACGTTCTGACGATTGCCGTTTCCCAGTGCTGAAGCAACAAGGCGTTCCATTACAACTGCCAGGGGGCCCAGCGTCCGGACACTATCTTCAACATCCGCCGCCGATGCAGCAGGCACAACCACCTTCCCACTACGCACCACCAAATAACCAGCAACAGCACCCGCCCGCTCCAAACAATCTGCACGAGAACGCACAAGACAAGATGCAACAACAGCAGCAACAATCACCGCATTTATGGCCGCCAAACAATGCCGGACCCGGAACGCCGACAAAAAATCAGCCAGCCAACGGCCCGCCACTTACCCTGAACCTGACGGCCCAACTGGATGCCATCAAGATGCAGCAGAACACACTGCGGGAGCAAATCAAGCAATCTGAAGCGAATCTCTCTGCACAGCATACGGTAAATTAAAATTGATAATGCGATCTGGTAGTGGGCCAGAGATCTATATATATATATGTATGTATTGTTGCAAGCATTTTTGAAAGAGATCAGAGCGTACAGGGTGTACGCAAGGGTACACTGCTTCCCTACTGTAATTCACAGCCAATCAATCTCACTTGTTTTTCAAAAGTCTGAGTCTGAGTCCCAGATACGGATCCTCAATATTAAATGATTTATTACCTCTTTAGAGATGAGATCTCTCAATATTGCTTCCCAACATACGAGTATGGCAATGGCATGACTTATATGACGGTCTCTTTTGTAAAGTTTCCAAAGTTTTTATTAACTTTTGTAAAGGATAGCCCGAAAAGTCGTTTGATAATTTGAAGCTCTGTGAAGTGTTTGGCTATACCGTCCGTATGTTTCCTTCGTTTTCCGGCGAACATCATCAACTTGTGGGCTGCTTACTTTCTTATACCTTTACTGTCACTGTTTCGGTCTCTATCGATCTCCCCTCTCTGTATTTATTCTGCAAGTGTGGATGCGTTCCAGTGTTCTTTCAGCTTTACTCAAATACATTCTCTATATTGTTTTCATTTTGATTTAACTATTGAATTAACAATCTACAATCTACAATCTACAATGCTACATTAATTTTTGCTTTATTGTATATTTTTTGAAACATAAACCAAAAAAAAAAAAATAATAAAAAAATACTCTTCATACCAACTGACAAAAAAACAATATATAAAAAAACACCCAAATTCAAATTTGTTTAAAACGAAACTATCGTTTCCTTGTCGAACCGCAAAATATACCTTTGTGTGCCCAAAAAAACAATAAACAAAACAAAAATATGTCCAAACTGATACCAAACCTACGAATTCGAACTAAAATCGCAACACCACCAACAAAATGAAACCCTATAGGCGCTGATGTCACAAAAGACGAAGCAGATCGAGGAGGCAATCGCGACTGCGCAGACGGCACAACTGGAGCAGCTGGCCGGCGATCAGGGGATTGTTCTTCGTGATTTCGATGGAGTCCTGCAGCCGATCATCGATGCATGCACCAAGGACAGCATCTCCGCAGGTAAATATGAGTGTGCGGTGGCCAGGCGGCTCCGGCAGCTCGGCCCGCATGCAATTAGATTCTCCATTACTGATATTTTTCATAGATGATAAGCTAGCGAAAATGTATGCTCCATATGCACACACGTACACACAGACACACACTTAATGATCCATACAAAGAAATTTTTAATTAATTTAAATATTTGATATATGTATGTTTTTTATAAATTATAAACTTATTAATGCCCAGTGACAATGACAATATGAGTAACCTGTTTGATATTGCAATTTTAGGCAAGAACTGGATTTTACAGCATTCAACCGACAGCGCAAAAATCAATGTCGTTTTACAATATCTTTTAAAGAAGTATGCCTCAGTTTATATAATTAATGATCCTCCACATGTATTAATGAAATTGTGTTTCTTTCTTTCAACGAGTGAAAATATTAACGAGACAAAAGAGACAAAACAAAATGTCGAAACGCAAACAAGAGAGATGATCGATTCAATTGAGCGAGCGATTGCGAGAGACTCCCCCAGAGAGCCTCGACATTGATTCGTTGCTTATGATTATTATTATGATTCGATGATAGTTATGAGATCTGATCTGGAATTCTAGACCATAGTTAGGCCAACACACACCACACACAATAGCACACACAGAAAACAAACCAACCTCCCCACCCATATATCATTTAATTTAAGGAAGCTTATCTTTAACACACACCAGACCCCAATCATCAGTAAAACAAGAGAAAACAAAATCAAAAAAGAAGAAATAATACAAAAAAAAAGAGGACGCAGACTAACACAACAATATTCACAATACATGCACAACAAAATCATTTTGGAAAATGTTGTTGTGCATACAGAAAACTAGAAAAATATGTTTTTCGTTTGTTAATTTATTTTTAGGGCTTTGGTCAATGGTTCAACGTTTCAGCAAAAATTGCATCTTATATATTTAGTTAATGATATACTCCACCATTGGTAAGTTCGCCCAATCAACCTTAAGTATGTTAAACACACCCAAAACTGTGAGAGCCAAGCAACAGAGAGCCACAATTCAGCTTTGTTGCTTAGCTTACACAGCGGCTGGACAGGACGTAACCGAAAGGGACGGGGCTAGACCACAAACGGCAGACATATATACAGATACTGATACAGACACCCACTGGACCGTTGACATGAGACATGTGTGTGTGTCATCGCCAGGATATATGTTGTTTAAGCGTCACGATATATTTACAGCATGCGCAAAAACATCAACGACTTGAAGAACAGCCTAGAGAACGTCGTCATACCGATGTTCTGCAGCGCAGATCTAAGTATGTATAATAAAGATTATTCGTTTTTAATTTGAATATTAACTTTCGCCTCTTCCCCTATAGTCGCCAGCATGGATCAGCGCCAGAAGCTCGCCAAGCTGCTGTCCCTGTGGGAGTCCAAGGCAAAGTTTTTTGATGCCTGCGTCATCTCGAAGCTGCAATCGCCAGACTCGTCCATGCAGGAGTACAAAACAAATCTGCAGAACTCCCATCACGATATAGCAGCCAAGTTCACACAAAACACCAAGGCCACCCTTGACAAGTGAGTACATCCCCCAGAATGGTTTGAAGTGTAGTTTTCAAACCTTTCTATGTCTCCTTTTTAGCTACCAAAAACAGCATCAGATATTTATCCAACATGCCAGCCAGCAAATTGCACAATTTGAGCCACAAAGGCAGCAGCTCGAACAACAACTGATGGCAGCACAAAAGGTACAACAGCAACATCAGCTCCTTCAACAACAGGTCGCCGGAACGCCACAGAAGAACATACCATCGTTAATGTCCCATCGGTTAATCATGCCCGGAGAGCATGAACACATGAATACGCCACCACCGAATGAGGCGCCGCATCCTCAAGCTGGGAACAACATATATGCAGGTGCCAATTTCCACCAGCAGCAGCAACAACAACAACTGCCCCAGCAGTCGGGTAATCATTTCGGAGATCCACGGGGACCAAACTTTTTCATTCCGGACATGTCAAAGCCGCCGCCAGGCTTTGCAGGGCCTATGCACTTGCATGGACAGGTAGCAGCGGCCCTACAGCAGCAACAGCAGCAGCAGCAACAACAACAGCAGTATGGACAAATGCCCGGACAGGGAGCTAATAATGAGCCTCCCGTTGATCTGGGCGTGCTCAATGCAGCCATTCAGGCTGTGATGCAGCTGCAGCATCAACAGCAGCGGCATCCCGACGAGCCCCAGCAAAATCCACAACAACTTCAGCAGCAAATACCACAACAGCTTCAGCATCAAATCCCACAGCTCCAGCAGCAGCAGCAACAACTAACCGGATATCCACAAAGTTTGCGACAAGCCCAAGGAAATGTCGATCCAAATGCAGTGGATTTGGAGGCGCTAAACGCAGCTATTCGAGCGGTTATCACACAACATCCGGATGACGTTCATGCGGAGCAAAAGCACCATTTGGAAGATGGCCAACTCCTGCAGCATCAGCAAGGTGAAGGTGAAATGATAGATCCTGCCGTTCTGGCCGAGCCACAGATACCTACAGCGCCTTATTACGACTTGCCCGCCGCTCTAATGGTTCCCCTCATACGGCTGGAGGACTACAACTACAAGTCACTGGATCCAGCGGATATACGGGTTCCAGCACCAGCGCCGCAAAGCGAGCGCCTGACGAATGCATTGAATGCTTTTTATGCGGCGCCTTCCCACGATCGGCCAAGGGATAAGTAAGTGCTGTACACTTAGACTCTTAGACATGGCATTCATTACGCTTTCGTCTTCCAGTGAGGGTTGGGAGAAGCTAGGCCTGTACGAGTACTACAAGGTGAAGAATGGAGCGCGCAAGAAGAAGGAAGAAGACATCAAGGAAGGCATACGGGAAAAGTCACGCTCGCCCAGTCCCATTGTGCTCGAGAAGCCACAGCCCAAGAAAGGCAATAAGCGATGCTATCGGTTGGTTATTCGCAAAAATACCTCCTGATTTAAGTCATTATAGAATACGATCGATTCTCTTGAATTTTCTTATCTAGTTCACAGAGTCGCAGTCGCTCTCCAGTGCATACACCTCCGCGTCGTGAAAGGACCCGCTCACGGTCGAGCTCCCGCTCAGTGGAGCGGACGTTAACGCCGCCACCGCACCGCAATCGTACTGGGGGCGGAAACGGTGCCAGCGGTCGGAAAGGTCGCAACCGATCTCCGCGGCATGAACGTGAAAACAACAGCAATAGCAATAGCAGCGGCAGCAACCGTGAGAATCGTGCTGAACGCAATAATTCCAATAGCAACAATGGCAACAACAATTCAAGGCGTGTGGATAGGGACAGATCCCCAACACCTCCGAGCTTCTTGTAAGATGATTCCCATCCTTAGTTGCATTTCCTTAATTTTAGTTTATTCTTCTGTGACTTTCAGGGGAAGCAACTTTCCCAAGCCGCAGGAGTTCATTGAGGAGACAAATAAAGGCCATCAAATGCTGATGAAAATGGGATGGGCGGGCACCGGAACTGGCTTGGGCTCAAAGAATCAGGGTATAGATGCGCCCATCTCGGGCGGCGAAGTGCGCGATCGTCGCGACATGTACAAGGTACAAAGAAGGGAAACCTGGCTAACCGTCTAAAAACCCTCGAATAACTAATCAATGATTTCTGTTTCCATCAGGGTGTCGGCAATAATCTGAACGATCCCTTTGAGAGCTTCCGCAAGAACAAGGGTGCCGCATTTGCCCATCGAATGCGCACCAGAGATGACAAAAGTTAAGATCTATTTAAACTTTTTTTTTCTGTTTCCGCTAGCAAAGAAAATACATTTTTATAAAAAGATGATTCGAATCTTATTTATGCTGAAACATTTAGGCAGGACTGTGCAGCCTTGGCATTGACTTTCTCAAGCACCTGGAGCAGACCTTTGCCGGGACCACACTCGAAGGTGCGCGGAAAGTCGGCGCCCTGCTTCCGTTCGTACATCTCGTGGAGTGTCTGCTCCCACTTAACGGGCCTGACGATTTGCTTTGGCAGCTGGACTAGAATGTTCCTGGCATTCCGGTATGGCTTGCCGTCCACATTCGAGTAGACTCGGATGATGGGATCCTGCAGACTCAGCGACTTAAGCGCCTTGGTGAACGGTTCGACAGCGGTCTGCATGAGAGGAGTGTGGAATGCACCGCTGACAGCCAGGCGCTTTATGCGACGTATCTTCAGAGCCTTGGCATTCTTTTCGAGAAACTCCAGAGCCTCCACATTGCCGGCGACGACCTTGCAGTGCGGGTACATGTAGTTGGCTATGCCGCAGTAGGGCGACTCCACTCCTCGGTCCAGACACCATTGTTGGGCCTTGGCGCAGGCTTCGCCCAGATTCGTATCCGGTCCATACAAGATCATGGCCATGGCTCCCGCTGCCCGATCACAGGCAGCCTGCATTGCTGTGGCCCGCACTTGGACAAGCTTCACGGCCTTATCAAAAGGCATCGCTCCGGCGTAGACCAGGGCAGTGATCTCGCCCAGACTGAAGCCAGCAGCTGCTACGCAGTTCTCAATGGCATGGGGTCGCTCTTCGCGCAGCTGCTCCAGCGCTGCCAGTGAAGACACCATCACAGCCAGCTGTGCATGCTCCGTGCGATTCAGCTTTTCACGTGGTCCCTCCAAGCAGATCTTCAGCAGATCATAGTTCAGCACTTGGTTGGCCAATTCAAATATATGCCGTGCACCCGGAAACCGCAACAGATCCTTGGCCATGCCCACATACTGGGTTCCCTGGCCAGGGAACAGCATCACACTTGTCTCCTTGGGATCGATGGCCGGCCGGCGTTTTTGGTCCATTGGCTCTGCCAGCTCGTTGAGGAGCTGCTGGCGTTTATTTGCATCTCCCAATGTTGAGGCGGAATCTGTGGTCGCTTTCGCTGCATCGCTCCTCCAACGGGACCAGCTCAGGTTGCCGAAAACTCGTGTTTTTCTTACGGCTAACATTTTATAACAAAATTATTTATTATGAGGCAAACAGCTGATTGTGTTAGCTGCAGCCCGAACAGGTGGCGCTACAGGGTTTCTTGCGGCCCCTGGCGGGAACAAAAAGCACTGTATTTACCCGTTTCGCTTTTAAATGAAGAATGTCACTGAGGCTGTGCTGGAGGCCTATTCATTTATGTTGCTATGCTAATAAATTGGGCATTAGTCATGACTCAACCAATCGTAGTATTCGCGCTGACTCAGAGTGATTCCCCACATTCAGGCCCCAGTTGACCATATTTGTGGATTTGTTTGTGAAAGAGTATTTAATAGCCCCCACCATCGGCTGCGATCCCTGGAAAGGGTTTCTAATTTGAAACACGATCGTTTCCTAAGGAAATGCCAAAGTTTTTTGAACTCATGTGCACTGAGAAACCCTTCTTCGCATGCCACACAAAAGGAAAAAAGGAAGATAGCAAAGGTGAACGACAATCTCTGCGAAGAAGGCGAAGCCGAAGCCAAAGCCAAAGCCAAAGCCGCCGGCAAAGTCAGACACGACACTGAAGATGACGTGACGCACCACTTTCGCCCTCAGTTCAAAGAACAGGCCATCAGCATCAAAACAAAAACACTAGCTCACACGCTTGGGTCTTCTCTTCTCTGCTCTGCTCTGTCCCTTCCAGGTCGCAGTCCCAGTCCCCATTCCTGAACTGAACCTCTGATGCTTCCCCTTCTCGGAATACGAAGCGACATTCCCTTTTCATTTCTTGTTGCCAAGGAAGGACCAAGCCAATGCTCGTCTAGACTGCACGAATATCGGAATCAGATTCGGCACCGGCGATGGCTATCTCTACGAGTATTAGAACGAGAACCAGTTTTGGAATTCGTATTCTTAAATTTCGGCTGTTGGGCAACGGCAAATGATGATGGGGGGAGACAGGCGGGGTGCGTGCCCAGGTATGCCCAAGCATGTAGGCTGCTTGGAGATCGTTGACATGGTGCGCAAGTGCCGGTGGCGTTTTCTGGCGGCTTCTGAAATCAGGTTGTGAAATTGTATTTATGAATGAGAAGAGCTGCTGGACAGATTTAAAATACAACAACGTAAAACTAATGAAATGCATACTTTAGCCAAAGGCCAAACTATTCGACCACATTCCTCCCTCCACAAGTTTTGCACATTCTCGGCTAGCCTCAAAATTTCGAGACGAACGTGCCTTTACCGTTAGCTCGATTAAGTGACAGTAGATACAGCGGGAAAAAATGCACATTCCGAAGGACACGGCGCGAGGCGCAGCAGCGTATTCATACGTGAGGCTAGGCGGAGAAATGCAATTGCGACTCAGCGTTGCGTATACGACGCGAGGGCCGGAGAACGTTTCCGCATGCGAGAAATGCAACGACAGGCACGGACACGGACACGAGCACGACTGCATCGATCGGGCGAGCGCCATAAAAAACTCGGCCGAAAGTGTACATTGACCGAGAGACCAGCTAAAAATACGAGTACCAAAAGAATGAACCCAAAAAGTATAACGAAACAGCAATTATGAACGCACCCCTCCCTCGATTTGGATGCAAGTGAGGTGAAGACCTAAAATAAAGTCAAACGACGACGAAAGCGCGACGCGATGCGTTCCCGATGACGCTCGGACTGGGAACAACAGTTAAATGATCAATGTCAGTATAACGTCAATCCATTGATGCTACAACGGCAACGGAAAGTGAGCACGAGCACCAGCGCAAGAGAGCGCGTCGAAGCCAGCTGAGCGAAATCTGAAGTGCATGCCATTACGCATGCGTACGAGAGTGAGAGTGACATTGAAAGTGCTTCTCGCTCCGCTCTGCTCGGCTGCTACTTTGCTTCTTTTCTACAATGAAGTAACTGTAGGAGAATGAGCACGAGTGATCATTCACCTAGTATGATCTCCAGAATGCACTGCAAAAAATGAATGTTGATTTTTACGCAGTCGAGGGAAGTTCTTGGAATTGCAGAATGAATATATTTGGATATTGGTTCCTCAATTCCACAGAAGAATAGTTCTTTGAAATTTACATACAGATGAAATCATTTTGTAATAATCTATATTAATTAAGATTTTAGCAGCTGCAGCTGCACTTAACTTTGATAAAGATTAACAAGAATATTCGAAATTAGTTCTTATATGGATTTGATGGATTTCCATATCTTTAAATGTAAATCTATGAACCAAGTGTGGACAATCGCAAAAATTGAGAGGCGCGACGAGTGGAAATCCCCTAGCAACAAGGCCTTAGATATGCCAGAGGGAAACTTTCACCACCACCTGCATGTCACAACAGCTACTTCCCCCCTCCATTACAGACCCAAGGTGATAGATTAGACAGTAAGCTGTTTCCTACATCTTTATCGGCATGTGACCAATTATGGCGCATATTGTGTGTAGATGAGGTTTCGTCGAATTATCGAATTATGTTGGAATAAAATACATGCTGAAGAAGTTGAGCAGTGATGGTCTTCGCGTGATGGCAGAGATGGAGGAGTCACGGTAAAGAGCGCATCCGAGTGCGCAGCCGCAACCGCAGCCGCAGCCGACTGCTCTTACTCTCACCCTTACTCAAGAGCAGCGTCGAGAACCTCAACCCCCCCCCGGGGGCGCGGGTCCGTATTTATACTCGTATTTATATATAAATGCCGCTCGGCTTCGGATCGAGCGTGCATTGTGAGCTCGTTGCTTATCAGGTGACGGTCGGTGGTCGGGTTTGTACGATCAGAGAACACGCCAGTAAAAAAAGTTCGTTGTGCGATCTTTCCTTTGCTCGACAAATAATACGTATACGTATTGTGCCCCCTACCGAAGGAAGGGCTGTGATATATCAAAAAAGGAATAACTATTTATAAATCTACCAATCATGAATGCAAAGGTAAGCGAAATTTTCTCAAAAAATGGGGGATTGTAGAGCCAGAATACCTTTTAATTAAATTAGTTGTGACCGTTGAATTTGAGTCCTGTCCCTAAATTTTTCTAATCCAACCTTCTCACATATTTATTAAACACATATCTTAATTATCGAGAAAAGTGGGTGTGTGCAAATGTGTAAATAATTCAGCTAAAAATATCAAAATTCGCGAATGCGCTTTTGTTCTGCCCCTCCCGGGGTTCCTCCAAGCATAATGCGCCAGATGATTCCGATTGGGATAAACAAATTGTCACCGCAAAATGCGGAAATGCCTACCTGACGGGGCGTACGTATTACATAATTTCCATTTCATCTCTTTGTAATATCAGGGAAGCTTCGGTCATTAAAAGCGGCAATTAAAATTTACCATTTGGCTGAGACGACTTGCAAATGCGCTCCAGTTTATGTTTAGGACTGAGCCGAGCTTTTGACCCACTTTATGGGTCGCATAAGCTGTCGCAGGGGAGGCGGCAGCAGTGAGACGTCACCACATCCCAGCTGTCGTCAGCCCAAAGTGGTTCATCCAGATGCGGTCCCCGATCCCTGATCCAGAGATACAGATACAGATGTTGTAACACTTAAATAACAAATCTCTGAGCGACTGGAGCTGCAGCGTCATCCGACTTATAATTAGGCGGCGGAGGCCGTTTGGGATTTAATTTTGCACCATACACTCAAAGGTGTCTTTTTCTCTTGCAGTTCAATCTGTGCCGGTGGACACTGCTGGTGATCAGCGTATTCTGTCTGCTGAAGGAGTCCTCGGGCAGCTTTTGCTCCATGGAGAAGATGAAGACGGTCGCGATGGAGGCCTGCGAGCATCTATTTCAGCAGGACGAAGCTGCACGGCGGGACAAGCGGTCTATAGAGTACAGCCATCACCATCTGAATCGCCTGGGATGTAAGTATAAGTCAGATAAATCAGATTATTGACTGAATAAGGTCAGAGAGTCAGTCAACCCGACAATTGCATTCGGAACTGGCAAAAACACGTTTAAATTTGTAGACGGCCTGTCGGCAATGCTCGGGCATTTGCATAAAGCAGTTCCGATGCAAAACTTAACCGTTTTCAAGGCACAAGTTCAAGATCACTTTTCTCACACAATGTTTCCCATTTTTGTTCACTGTTCACAGACGGCAAACTGCACGACAAGCATCATTACATCACCCGGAGTAACTATCCCATGGGTGGCTATCTGAAAGTGAATCGTGACCATTACCGCCGTCTCAGCGAGCTGGATGTGGTGCCACGCTACAAGCCCAAGAAGATCCATCACGAGAAGAAGGAGCGCTTCAAGCGGGATCATGCCAGCAGCTCGTACAACAACATCTCCTACTGCTGCTTAAACAGCTGCAACGAGGAGTTCTTCTGCTAGTTCTTCTTCTCCATGGCCTCACTCCGTCCATTGCCTAGATTAGATTATACACCCACCCGACTACAAGACGCGCTAACTCTTATAGAGTTCGGTACCTTATACTTCCCCACCGTTGGAAGGGACCAAAATTCTTGCCACAGTATTTGTACATTTAAATAGATTTATATTTAATTTTTAAGACCAAAATATAGAATGACATTAAAAAAAAGGACACCATTTTTAATGCAATTATTCGCATCTCACAAGGCACTTGTACAGTGAACGCCATAAGTTTGAAACTCTTCTTATAATCACATTTCCATTTACAGACAGACAAATACCTGAACAATTTAAGCAATCACAAAGCACTTATATAGTACCTTCCCCTGCAGACGGCACATTCATATTTGCTGCAGTTCCCCTCGTCGAGCGGCTGCAGGGAGTGAAAGTACTTGGAGATTACGTCCAAGATGTCCTGGCGATGACGCTCAAGGAAATCCACAGCAAAATCATCATAGGTGTGCACGCAGTGCATTAATATCCGATAGAGCACCGTCTCCGTGGAAACGAACGTGTTCAGGGTGCGGTCAATCGAGTCGATATTCTGTTCCACAAAGGTACGCGTCATTTCCATAAAAAGCTGCACCGCCTTATCGCTAAAGTATCGGGCCAAAGCGTCTAGCACGTCCGTGAGGTTGCCCAGACTGCTGATGTGCTCCACAAACTTACTGCCAAATTGAGTGCCCAGCATTTCCAGATTCAGGCGCATCTGTCCCCCACTGCCCAGGCTCACAATATTGGGCAGCACAGTGGCGCCCAGGGCACCGACCATAGAAGCTCCTTGCGAAAGATGCGCATTGATCTTGTGCAAGCTGAGCAAGGCCTCCTTAAAGGGTATATCATTAAAGGTGCGCACAATGTCAAACTTTCCGCTGTCGGAGCCGTTATGCAGCTTTATGGACTCTTGCGAGATTTGCCTAACGACTTTTCTGCAGGATAATCGAACTCTATAACAGTGATCAAATAAGGATGTGGGTTGCAATTCTTACCTGGTTTGATTGCGCAGCGCGCGCATCAATGTTGGTCTATTGCTCACCTTGGAAGCTATGCGGAGATTGTTAATGGAATGCGTGAATATAACCAGGCTCGAGGCAATCTGCAGAATATCCAGTTTAGACAAGGTCTGATCGTCGCCAACTTTCTGCAAAATGCAACAAGAAACTGCACTTAAATATCCAATGGCATCGCGACTGCAAGCAACTCACCAAATATAGGTCGTACACACCGTTGGCCACACCCGTGCCGGATATGACAATAGAAGACACATTGATGCCCTTCACGGCGAACTGAGCGGCACAGTTCACTTCGGTGCCCGCTGCGGCCACTCTGGACATAAGTCGGGTAGCTCCTGTGGCTCCCAGGCCGACCACACCCCCGGCCACGCCTAGCCATTGGCCCCGAGCTTCACTGTCCGTGATGGAAGTGGACTGACCATGCCGCACACGATCGTAAAGGCGGTTGGCCGAGCGCAAGGTACTATAGGCTGCCGTTGCAACGCCCACAGCAGTTGCGGCCAGAATGATGGGTCCGCCTACGGGAACCGCCAAGGCGGCAGCCACGGGGACACTTGCCACAAGGCTACCAACAGTGGCTACCTTGTCGCCGACATTGAGGATTCTGTGCCGCGCACCAGACGCTGGCGTGGGATACACCATTAGCTGAACTCCGGCATCCTCGTCGTTGGTGATGGTGTAAATGCCACGACTTGGAGCTATCATCATGCCCTTGGGCAGAGTATTTCCGAAGACAAACTTCTCCCAATTGGCATAGACCCGGCCGTGTTCGTCGATAAAGATCATGCAACATTCCTCGCTGTTTTCGCCCTTTATGCACTTGCGGGTGCGGAATACAGGATGGCAGCTATAGGTGGTGGACTGCAGGGCCAGCTCTGCATCCATTTCGGGCGTGACCAGCACGTAGATAATGGCCGAGAGCAGAGTGCGGTTCGTGTACTTCCGCTGTAGCCACACATTTCGGAACAGTTGCTCGCGTTGCTTTGCCACCTTCCTGCTGTTTGTTGCCTCATTATCTAGGATCAGATTTTCGATCTTCTGCTTTAGCACTTCAGCCTGATCTGGGGCTAGTCTTTAGGGAATGCGGAGAGCATGAGTAATTAAGATTTTCTGTGCAATTGCATAATCCTATGTACGTACGAGTCCCAAATGATTTCCGAGCGCAGGGCGCTGCTTAGCCCAAAGTCCCGTTGCACATCGTAGGCCGAGCGCGTCATTTGCTTCTCTTCTGATTCTTTGCTCATGGAACCTCAGGGGCGCAGCGAGCACATTCAAACATTAAAACGTAAATAAGACAACTAACAATTTAGTAAAATGTATCAAACTATAGTATAGAGAGTAAAAATATATTTTCCGACCGGGCAAAATTCGTTTCCACAACAACAAACTGTCGCGAGCCCTTCAACAGATGGCGCCAGGCTACTTAAAGAATATTGCACCTCTGGCAGCAGGTACCTTTCGATAAGTAATCGATTAACCACAATGAGCGCCAAATTTTTTTTTAAATTATAAGGTTTTATTTTATTTATTTCCTTAAAAGTTAGTTATACAAAAACATTGCTAAGGCCACGGTTAAGTCTGTTTAGAGTTAGGAAGGCTAAAGAGCCTTTGGCAAGCGATATTTTTTGGTTAAAAATCATCAACAAGATTAGTTTAAAACGAATTAAACATTAAGAAAAACGTACATACAAGTATTGCATTGAAATTGTGAGTCTATCAGTTGGTTAGGCGCGGACCGAAAGTAGCTTAAACGTTAAGAATAGGGCACACCATATGGCCACTTGACAACAATAATAGTTTGCTTTTTATACAAAAAAAAAAAAACACCAGCAAACAATGAACACAACACTCGTCTATGACCAACCACCTGTGAGTTTGTGGAAGAGTTCCTCATTCAGGGTTTGGTTATTGTCCTTGGAGCGCATCGACATAAAAATGTAGCCGCCAATAAACTCATGGACAACCTTGCAGTCCGCCGAGTGACAAGAGAAGACCACATTCTCGTCTTGGAACTGAATCATCATGCACTTGATGTTCCAGTTGACATTCCAGGCCTTCATGTTGTTGTAGCGCCAGGTCTTGATGTGATCCCCAGAGCTCAGGTCCATGCGCATAATTCGATTCTGGGCCACTCCCAGCAGCTCCTCCTTCTTGTGGCCGTCAAACTTGATGATAAAGAGAGTGACGCCAAAGTCCGGCAGAGACTGCCAGGCCTGTATGTACTTCAGCTTCGACTCGAGCAGATTCAGCTCCCTCACATTGGCATGGGCCTCCAGTATACGCTGCACAGCCTTGCCGGACAGCTTCCGATTCATTTTGGGGGATAGATAGTCCACCGGCTCGACGGAGCGTGGATCAATGTTCACATGCACGCCATGCACCGGACGCTGCATCTGTAGCAGCGAGAGTATGCTATCTACCTCACTCTCATATGAGCTGTCGGCCAGTGAGCGGCCCTTGGCCGCCAGGCGACAGGCAGCCATCCATTTCGCATACTGCTGCTCGTTCTCGCAGCGCACCCAGACCTCGGTGTTGGGACCGTTTCTGCCCTCCGGGGAAACCTCCAGACGTATGGCATACTTCCCCTGTGACAGGTTGACGTCCGGTGTGACCTCGCATCCCTTCAAATTGATGCTGATGGCTGGGGCCTGGCGTCGGGACTCCTCGGCACTCTTGTAAAGATGCAAATGTAGATCCCGGTAAGTGAAGAAGTAACGCTTGAAACCCCTCAGCGTGAAGCGCTGTGGCTTCAGATAACGCAAATAATCCGACAGTTCCGGAATGCGAGTGATATTTCCAGCGTCGCCACCGGCATTCGGTCCCTCCAGTGTGATCTGCAGCTCCTTGAGGGCCGAATCTATTTCATCGTCATCGTTTTCCTGGCTGGAAGTCTCTATGCCAGAGTCGACGGCACTCGTGGGCAATGCATCCACGTGATGGTTGACCTGAAACTGCAGGGCGGCAAACATCAGACTCTCCTCCTCGGTGCAGTCCAGCTCCTCGTTCAGAATGCTCCACTTGGCCTGCTCGTACAGCTGGTTGATGCGCACCTGATCGTATTTGGGATTCAGGTCAAAGAAGGTAAAGTACTTGAAGCGCAGGCGCAGCGTGTCGTACTCGCGTATGCCCTGCTCCATTATGGACAGCGAAGAGTCCAGCCAGCCGACATTGAGGCGCGCCTTCTCCACCAGCGACTTGGGACGCAGTAATTGGGCTCGCACATCGGCACAGGGCGTCGGTGGAGAGCTGGCCAAGTTCTCCTGGAAATCCCCCAAACTTGAGGAGGAAGAATCGTACGTGGCATAGCCAATCTGACTCTGCTTCCATGTTCCAGGCGATGGCGAGGCCATAGGCGAGCGTCGGCTGTGATTGTGCGGCGATAGTGGGGCGCAAAAGAACATGCCCGGTGCGGAGGGCTTGTCCAGGCTGCCAGTGCTTCCTCCATCCGCATGGAAGGCGGCATTGATGGGCACAAACGAGTTGGTGTCCGCAGCAGGGTGCAGATATGTGGTGCCATCTGGCTCAGCGATGGGCACCCGCTTCTGATGCGGCACCTGGGCGAAGTTCTTTTTCAGATGCTCCGCCTCCAGGGGCTTACAGAGCGACAGCTCCTCCGGGTAACGGATCTCCAGCTGCTTGCAGAGATGAACCACAGCAGCAAAGGTTTTTACGGAATAGTCCACGCGACAGTCCAAATACCGCAGATCCGGCAGCTGCACCCGCAGAATCTTGTGCATGGGGGTGAAGTGGAGCAGGCTGTCCGCCTGGACGCCGCACTGATCCAGCGTAGCGCGTGTCCGGTTAAGCCAAATGTTCCTGGCGGGCCACCACAGGGCATGGTCGGACCAGTCCTTGGGATTCTCTGGGTCCACAAGCTGCAGCATTATGCCCCCGATATGCTGATCCCCGCGCACGCGCATAGTGCGCTCCAGCGATAGATCCGTGATGAATATGCGCAGGTTCCATGAGTTTTCGCCGACGTGGATCA